ACGGCCCTAAAATATTTAAAATATAATATACCTCGACTGCATGCAAACGAAACTGAAATATCTAGATAGAATTTAAATTTATACGTGTATTGAATATTTAAAACTGTACAAATTCACCATGAAAATTCATTCATGATGTCGCGCTTTTTTTATTTGAAAATAAATATTTTAACAATTGACTCTGTTGCAAAACGTAACGAATTGTCGTAAAAACATGCATGAATTAATATTAACAATAGGCAATGATTTGAAAAATCATGATTTGAAAAACGAAAATAAGAACTTAAAAATTAAACAAATTTAAATTCAGTAACGTCATTTCTTTTTAAAATCAGTGATTCATCATGCAGTTCGACAAGCTCGACARTTTTCCCGGTTTCTTCATTAATATCATGATCAACTGTTTTATATTTAAGTTTTTATTTATTTGTATTGTTTCCGACGGTATATACCAAGAGTTGTTTTGCMTTTATTTGAATTGACTGAAAATCGGGTGTGTCKGATAAAATCATTTCATAATACAACCTGAAAATGAATTCGTTTTCGCTAAAAAAGTATGCAGCAATGTCCAGTTAAAATGAAAATTACATATTGCTATGATGAATATTTATTGTTGAATATTTTTTTTTATAAAAGGAAATTAAATTACTGTTAGTTGTCCAGGATCTTTGATGAACCGTGAAGTGAGCAGGTTGTTTGTTGATACCTGTTCAAAGTGCGCGCAATCGAAACAAAACTGCATCAAAAACTGAACTTCGTAACGCAAGAGATTCGCAACTGATAAAAAATCCAACACAAGCTTCAAATAATCATAAAAAACTACTTTATTATTTCTCATATCATTTCGAATTATAATCACTTTACAATRTTCATTCTAAAATAATAATCTCTCATTAGTGAACTTACTTAWAAAAATAATGAACTCCACATACTTGCTATGTTTTCTAATAAATTATCCCCTTTTTCACCATAGAAAATAATCAGTAAAAATCACATTGAATCAATGTTATTGTTTGTTATTTTTAAAAATTATTTTTGTAGTAGCTTAGCGTCTCATAATRTTATCAAAATGCACGTACGATGCAACAGTTTATATCCTTAATCCCGCATCTTTCCCCAAGCGTACAATCTTGATGTGTTGAAAGTTAATCTTCATCAAGTCCTTGCTCCAAAAGGTTTMTAATTGTACACTTAAACACAGTACAATCTATACTTAAAAATAGGTGATGAACCAGCAGCGTCAATCTGAATAAACAACAACGTTGTACAGCAACAAGTACCTTATCAAACTTCACTCTATACTCTGTATAATTTACAGATATTCTCCAAACTTGAATTGTTTCGCTTTGAATCATAACACTTGTATGGTTTAATCAGCTCCAGAGTAGAGCCTTTCTTGGCGTTTCATTTGTGGGAGAAGCAATTATTAAAGTGGATACCACGATACGATCCAGCTCAATGCTGCTGTAGCAAACATACCAACTGTTCCTACGACAACAATCAGRAGAGCTATACTTCCCATTTACGTCTTGTGATAGCGGTGTCTTGAAAGAAACCCGTCTTTGTGTTTACGATAACTTGAATCCGTGCACTACAGGCGAATTGTTGCCTGACAGTAAAKTTTATGCGGCGTTCTAGACTGTGGACTAAATCGGCTTGCAAGGCATGTCGGGGGAGACWTACTTGCAGGATTACGGTACCTAACGATTTGAAGTCATTGATTATTTATCAATTTCGCGATAGGCTAAATGCGATGCAAATTTGAAGTTTATTAACAATTGGAAATGGTTAGGACAAAAAAGATCCAAAAGGCAACACAAGGCAACTTGAAGTGGTCACCTGATGATGGAAAAAGGACTAAAAGCCATATAAAAGAACTGGCGAGAAATTGAAAGGAAAGCCAAGTAAGACTGGAAAAAGGGGAAAGTCTTGGTGGAGGCGCTATGTGCTACCTAGGCATAATAGGGCTTTTCTGAAAAACCAAAGCGCATTGCATTGTGGTCTAAACTCGCTACTTGAAGCATCTTGTTTTCTTGTTTGTTGTACTGAAGCTAGACCAGAATGCACCATGATTTCAATTTCAAAAAAGGTCTTTGGCACTCTACCGAAATCACCGAAATATGAACTTGTGGTTATTGGACCATAAATTTCATTTCCACTCGAATCCAGTAATTTGTAGATTCAAAACCAACTATATGCTGTCAATAAACAATTTTGTAATGATTGTGTATTGAAACAGGAACGAGTCCGTCTGTACAAAAGGTGTCTACACTCATTTTCACTTTATTACATCAGAAGGGACAGCACAAAAGGGGGTTAAAGAATTAAGACCCTTTTGATGCAGCGAGTGAATTAATTGCGTCTTTTGGAAGACTGGCTGATTTTCCCCCTAGAGACAAGACCCCTTTTGTGATGTACTCTCTCACATATTTATAGAACTGGTTTCGGTTTTTACATACAGTTTGCAATTACTTATTAACATATTTACAATACATTTCTG